GTTGGCATGTTGTGTTGTCTGTATCCTCTAAAGTATACTTAGTATTTGGTCATGTTTCCTTCACTGCTCAGTCTCCTTCCCATCCTGATCCACAAGATACAGAAGCCTCCCAAGACTGCTCCCCCCACCACCCCAGCTCTAGTCTATCCCCAGATCAGCCAGATGATCCTTTAGAACAAATTGGATCCCCCCCACCACCCATCCATGCTCCCCCTGAGGGCAGGCCACACTTAGTACCCTCTTTCCCCACCTCCTCATGCTTACTCTTCTCTGAGCTCTGGAAAGAGCACCCCAGGTCCACTTTTCAGAGCATCAGCCTGGTCACTTCTCCCAAGCATGTATCACTAAGCACTTTTCTCATGCTTGGAACAGGAATGTTACTGGTAGTATTCCTGCTTGTGTGTTAGTAACAGCGTAGTATAAATAACGCTTCCAAGTACAGATAGTAGTAATGATAATGCCTTAGGGTTATGGCTCCATGACTTGTGTTTATTTACTTTTTTTTTTTTTTTTTAATCATCAAGAGACGTTTACTGGTGTTGTGTGCTCAACTTGTGCCAGGTGCTTTCCGTTGGTCTCCTGAGTCTTGTTTAAAAATTCTGGTTTCGGGGCGCCTGGGTGGCTCAGTTGGTTAAGCGACTGCCTTCAGCTCAGGTCATGATCCCAGGGTCCTGGGATCGAGCCCCGCATCGGGCTCCCTGCTCGGCGGGGAGCCTGCTTCTCCCTCTGACCCTCCCCCTGCTTGTGTTCCCTCTCTCGCTGTCTCTCTCTCTCTCTGTCAATTAAATAAATAAATAAAAATCTTTAAAAAAAATAAAAAATAAAAATTCTGGTTTCTACATCATTCACCCCTTTGGAGTTGTTTTAGAGAGGTTTTTCTCCTGAGGTACTCAGATCAGTTAGACAGTGGCATTTTACTAAAATAAAGTAGGGGCACCTGGGTGGCTCAGTTGGTTAGGCAGCTCTTGATTTTGGCTCAGGTCGTGATCTTGGGGTTGTGGGTTCAAGCCTCATGTCAGGCTCCATGCTCAGTGTGGAGTCTGCTTGGGATTCTTCACCGCCCCCCCCCGCCCCCCGCATGTGTGCGTTCTCTCTCTCTCTCAAATAAATAAAACCTTTAAAGTAGCTTTTGGTAGAGGCAATTACAATTTGCACCGACCCAAAGCCCCATGTTGTCATTCCACCTATGATTTGGTGGCCCCTTTGTTCTGGGGTTGCTCTGTGCTGTGCCTGTGTAGCCTCTAGTGTGGTTGCAACCTCCCTTCTTGGAGTGAGGGAGATCTGGGCTTCATCCTGCCCACCTCTCTGCTCTCCCAGCCCTGTCTGAGGATGTATTAGAGCAGGCTCTGCTTGGCTTGGTTGTGTTTGCAGAGAGTGAGAAGGAGGGGCTGAGGCCACCTGGGTTCTAGCCCTGCTTCCTGGGTAGCATCCTGTGCCTTAGGCCGCCTTGCAGACCTGGGAGCCTCATCTTTACACTGGGCATGCTGCTGTCAGGATCTGCCCCTGCCTGCATGTAGCGCCAGCACAGGATCCCCCTTCAGTAAGAAAGCTGCTCTTTGTGGGCTGGCCATTCCTGAATGGGCTTGTGGTAGAACCTCTCTTGTCTTTCCCTTCATTCTACCCTTACTGGCCAGGGATTTTGAAGCAGATCCTAATTTGCTATCACAGTAATCCAGCCTTGTCACCTGCTGTTTAGAAAGTATTCTGATGTACCTCCTCACTGCTTTTTTGCAGAGATTGTAGGTCATGCTTCATTCCTCAAGGCTGGTTTCTTCCCTATAGGTTTGTGGCTGGATCCTGGGTTCGTGCCTGCAGGGTGGTGGCCGCTAGCCCTAAAAGTGCGGGGGCTACTGGTCCTTCATGCTGAGAGGAGGGAGGAGCTGCTCTTTACCAGCACCTGCCCTCCCTGGGAGCAAATGCCCCATGTGGCCTCTAAGGCAACCACCTTGCTGTGGAGTAGGCACCACCCAAGGCGAGGCGGGGGGTGGGGTGCAGAGCTGAAGGCACTCTCTGCCTTGGTCAGCCCCGTGCCCCCTCCAGCTATGCTGGTCCTTTCTGTGGTGGGGGAGGTGTGTAGCTGCTCCCCCACCGCCCGCCCGCCCCAAGAATCCCCCACCAGAGCTGGAGGGACACGGAGCTGGAGGGGCAGGGCATGTGTGCACTGCCAGGATGGCTATTATTTCTGGCCCCAGGGTTGGCAGGGTTCCAGCCCCTCAGCTTCAGAGTGAGCTACCCTGACACTGCACACAGAGCATAAACAGGCTATGTTCCGTGCCCTCTGCTGGGGACCCTGATCAGCTACCCAAACTGGGGTGCTGTGGGGGGGCCCTATGACCCAGGGTGGTCACTGGGGCTGGAAGGAGCAGCCCTGTGGGTGTGAGGCTCTGCTCTGGCTCTTTGCCATTGCTTGTTTTACACCAGTGACAATGAAGTGAGGTCTCGTGAGCACTACCTTGCCAGTCTGATGACCTGGCACACAGCAATCTGGTTGTTGGTTCTCCCCCTTCTCCTTATCTTTGTGGGCAGTTGAGAGGAAGGACTTCATGTAGGGTCTGGGTTTGGATGAGTTTCATGGATTGGAGCCTGGAGCTTACAAGGCCAGAGACTGTGCTGGCTGGCAGGGTGGGTGGGTGTGTGGGTGAGGGTGCCAAGCTGGAGCAGAGGCAGAGTGGAGAAGCATGGGGGAGTTTGAGTACAGGATTGGGAGGGCATCCTCTGTATCTACCTCATTCCCTCTTCTCCAGTGTGTACCAGGCCAGACTGGGAGCTTTTCCCTTAGGGACAGAATTTCTTCTGACTCTAGTGGGGGCCCTCTTTCCCTCTTTTCTGGTTTTGTCTCCTCTCCTCTTTGATCTTGACAAGCTCCTTTCTGGTCCTGGGAGCACAGCTACCTGCTGTCCAAGGCAGCTACTGAAATTGTTCCTCTTGTCTAATTCCCAAATTTCAAGGAGCTCCTGTTTTAGGAGTCCCCCAGGAAAGATGACCCATGTGCCCACAGTGAGGGAGGGGACGGTGACTGACACTCAGGGCAGTGACTTATCTGCAGTCTCACAGAGACAGGACTGATAGGCTCAGTGAGCAGGCTGACAGGGTTTGTTGTGAAGGCATAGGAAAGGACAGAAGCCATAGAGCTTTAGGCTAAGAGGGACATGGGGGCATTCCTTGCTTTCTCTGAGCCAGTTAGGAGACCATATCCACACAGAGAATGGGAGGTGGGGATGGGGGTTTTTTTGAGGGGTGACTGGGACTGAGCACTTGGTACAGGGTGGGTGGCAGGCACAGGCTAGGATGCCAGGAGGGGTTGGGGGCAGATGGAGGTCTTGTTGATATCCTATGCCCTTGAGTTCTCCAGCCCCACCCTCCTTTAGCATGGGTGGGGAGCACTCTGGGGGTGACATGACCACCAGGAGACTTGCTCATTTTGACCCATTTGGACTGCCTGTAGGAGCAGATAACCTGAGTGCCCTGGCCAGGCCACACTGGCCTAACGAGTGTATATGGGACACTCTGCCTTCTGAGCCAGGAGCATGAAGCAGCTGTCCATTTCCTTCCTTTCACTTTAAGTCCACCGAAGGGGCCACTCAGGCAAGGCCCTGCACTATTGCTCATTTGTGGAATTGGCTCCTAAAGAAGATTGTGAGTGAGTCATCTCAGGAGTGTATCCCGTATATGATGATGTGGCCCCTTCATTGCCCCGTGTTGCCCCCAGCCTCCCAGAAGGTGGGCTCCAGGACTGGGGATGACTGGCCCTGTCCAGGACAGGCCTCCTAGGGTATTCACTGGTGAGGAAACTGAGGTGCCAGGTGCCCTGCCTGTGGACACAGGTGCCTTCAGTGTAGGCACACCACAGGTATGAATTGAGATTCTCTGAGGGGCCCATCGTGTATTGCTCAATGGGCCCCATGTTGGTAGGTGTGAATGCGTATTATCCTGTGTAGAACTGGGACTTTGGGAATTCTACTAGAGCCTGGCAGCTAAATTCTTTTTTGTCCCCTCATGAACTCTGGCTTGGCTTTTTAGATCCTGACTCTTACAGTCTTATTTCCAGTGTCCTGCCTTGTTGGGACATCAAGGCTGGGCTTGGAGTGGCTCCTTTAAGAGCGAGCGCCTGTGTCCCAGACTCTGTTGTGGAATGCCAGCAGCCTCCCTGCAGACAGACATCACTGCGCTGTCCTCCGTCCTGTCTCCGTGAGGGTTAACAACACTTCAGCTTGTTGTCTGGAACCGGTTCAGACTGGTTTTCTGGAAAGTGCTTTGTCTCTCAGACTGAATCCTGGGAAGGGTCATGTGGAGCCCAGTGATGTCATGGGATCAAAAACTGACTCAGCTGTTTTTTTTCTTCTTTTCTTTCTTTAAATCAAGATATGTGTGTGCTGCAGGTACACGGTGCTGGCACGATGACAGGCCAGCTCTCACCCCACTCAAAGTTTACCTTATTGGCAGTCAGAGGGTTAAACGTGACCCCCACCTCTCACCCCCCAGAGGTGAGCAGGGAGTGAGGAGGCTGTCCCTCAGTAAAGGGGAAAAGAAGGGTCAACCTGAGTCAGTGCAGTGCGGGGCTGGACCTGGGCAGTGACCTTGCTCCTGGGACAGTGTGGTCTCCCTTTGCTGGATTCCAGACACCTCCAATCCAGGGCAGGTACTCCGAATCCCATAGGCAGGGAGTTCAGATCTAGAACAGTTTTCCTCTATTTGCTTTTGAGTCTGGAGCACAGAGAATTCCTTTTCCTTCTGATAAGCAGCCACTTTCCATTGTTCCTGTCCAGGTCCCCACATGTCTCAGCTCCCCAGATGCTCCACTGATCCTGCCCAGCCTTCCCCAGGCAGTGAAGAAAGGTCCTGGGCACACTTTGTGGGTCCTGCATTTGTTATGCCTACTTCCACTAACAGCATGTGGCAAGGAAAACTCTCCAAGCTGACACTGAGAAGTTTCTAAGAAGGTAGCAACTTGGTTGTGCCAAGTTTAAATGTCATGTTTTCTCCTTCTCCCAAAGTTCAGAATGACTGAAGAAGCATGCCGAACACGGAGTCAGAAACGAGCGCTTGAACGGGACCCAGCAGAGGATGATGTGGAAAGCAAGAAAATAAAAATGGAGAGAGGATTGTTGTCTTCAGATTTAAACACTGACGGAGACATGAGAGTGACGCCTGAGCCAGGAGCAGCCCCAGCCCAAGGGTTGCTGAGGGGGGCAGAGGTGACGACCATGGGCAGATGCGAAGGGCAGGCGGGTGACGGGCCCGTGGACATGCGTACCTCATACAGGTGAGCAGGAGGAACCTGGAACCAGGTCTCCTGGGTGTGAAGAGGTGGTGAGGAGATGGGGATGAGGCTTCCCTTCAGGCCTGCAGGAAGCAGCTTTGGGTGAGTTATGGTGGAGATGGCTGTGGGTTCCAGTCCTGGCATCGCTGTGCTGTCCTGGACAGACCTCCCCACTGGGGCCTGGATGTCAGTGGCAGAGGGTGTGATTCTCACAAGAGGAGGGGTAGTATTCTCTCCATCAGCTCTCCTGTAAGGCAGCAAGTCTTCACTAAATTCATACCTGTTGTCTGTTCAACTGGTGCTTTTGGTTTGTAGGAAAACTTGGAGTTTTTAACTTGAATATATTTCCTTGCTTTGTAGATCTGGGTTTCAGGAGGGCAGGGGTTCTACACTTTTTCTGGGTCATTGGGCTGGGGGCAGAGTCTGGAGGCCAGCTCAGGGATACCTCACCCATGTGCCACCATTCCTTATAGGCAGCACATTATGAAGGAGGAGGTCACTCTCTTCATCTTCTGTGGTGTGTTTTGGTTTCTCCTTAGTCATTACTGATTACTTTCAAGAGTAACTTTCCTGGTCCTCAGCTTTGTGAGGTTCTTAAGGAAAAAACTTGAAAGACTTAAGACTCAGTGTCGTTCCTGTCATACCCTCCTTCCCCCCAATTTCTTCACTCAGAAACATTCTTTTCTTGTAAAGAGAAATCTGGGCCTAGCATCTGCTGTCACTGTTTCCCTTGGAGCTCTGGTGAGAGAACCATTCTCTCCAGAATGTTCACACCTAGATGTCTTATGAGCCAGATATGCCACAGTGGGTGTGTGGGTATAGGCATGGCCTCCTGGCCCTCCCTCACTAACCCCCTAGTCCTCCCCTACAGACCCCTTTCCATGTCTGTTTGCCTGGAGTGGGGGGTGAGGGTGAGGGTAGCAGGTGCAGAGCCAGGGAAGTTGGGAGCACCTTCTCTTCCCATGAGTGTTGACTAACCCACACAGGGATGACTCCACCCTGCAGTCTTCATGTTAAATTCATTTTGGAGTCCAGATTTTCAGAATCCTAAGGATTTCAGAGGTCATCTGGCCTGACATTTCTCAGCTTTTACAATTCTTAACCTCTTTGAGATAAATAGGAAAATCCAACCCCTTCTATTGGGGAAGCATTCAAAGTGGGGTGGGGGTACTTTCTGTTTCTACTACCCCAAAAGGCCTTTTTTTGTCTGGCTTTGCTTTTTGCTGTCCCTGTTCTAAAACCAGAGGCCTCTTTGAAAGTTTCAGAAATAAAATTGTAAGTCTGGGCCTCCTTTCCCTCTGTCTGACTTGGTCCTCAGTAGTGTTTCACGGGCTGTCTCAGGTAGCTGAGGAGGAGGAAGAGCCCATGTTTGTGAAGATCTGCTGGGTTCTTGTGTTCCTGGGCTCCTGGTGTGCATTTTCTTCTATAATTACCTTTCTTCTATAATCACAGGGCAGCCCAGTGGATTGTGAGGGAGAGATTACCAGATCTTTCTGTTGATACAGCCTGGGGCTACATTTGGCCTCTGGGCCTCTTGCTTCCAGACTTTCTCCATTATACCTATTGGCTTCCAACCCAAGGTCACTTGGACAATGTGATGTTTTCTGAGGTTGATGGGGATGATATCCTTATGACACAAAGGATGCGAGGGAGCAGGGATCATAGATTAACCCAGGCACATAGGGCAGGGGTGATCCTACAGGACTAGAGATGCCCCAGGGCACTCGTGGAGCAGTATGAGAGTGTGGAAAGAGTTTGGCTTTGGTGGCCGGCAGGCGGAGTTGGGGTCACATCATATTCCCTGACTGATCTTGTGCAGATGGTCTTAGTCTTTGTTTCTTCATCAGTAAAATGGGTGATAATCTTTGCCTTGCAGGTTATTGGGTGACAGATGTGTACCCAGAATTGGTCCTAGTGTGGGGAGGAAGTGTTGGTGGCAACTATCCTTCAGTCTTCACTCAAAATGTCCACGTGTAGAGCTAGTATGTCCCTGAGTTCCCACATAGAATATTCTGTTTAATTTGAGAAGTACAGTTTTGAATTTTGGCAAAAATCATAGGATCAGGTATACCCCACAGCCATTCTAAAACTGTAATCTGTTCTGGAGTGCGTGGCCCCAGTTTCTGTGTTAGAAATAGGCAGTCTTTGAATCCTTGTTGAGAGCATCTGGCTTGAGAACATCCCTTTAGGAACCTCCCTGTATCACGTGTGGTTGTTCCATTGGTTCCCAGGTTAGTGTGAAATCCCACATTGGGCAGATCAAAAGGCACAGCTGTACTAACCATAGTTCAGTTGGGTTGAAGCTCTTTGGCTTCAGGTTCACTGAATCTTATAAGACCAACACGCCAATTTTAGATGGTTCTGAGAGAATTTCATTTTTGTTTTTTTAATTGAGATATAGGACACATACTGAAAAGTACAGAATGGTGCCACTTGATATATTTTCACAAACTTGAACACATCCCTGTAGCTAGAATCAAGAAACAACCTTGGAGCCCCCTTACGCCTGCTTATTGTCACTACCCCAAGGGTAACCAGTTTCTTGGCTTCTAACAGCATAGATTAGTTTTTCCTGGTTTTGTACTTTATTATTATTTTTTTAAATATTTATTTGACAGAGAGAGACACAGCGAGAGAGGGACCACAAGCAGGGGGAGTGGGAGAGGGAGGAGCAGGCTTCCTGCTGAGCAGGGAGCCCGATGGGGGGCTCGATCCCAGGACCCTGAGATCATGACCTGAGCCGAAGGCAGACGCTTAATGACTGAGCCACCCAGGCGCCCCTGGTTTTGTACTTTAAATAAATGGTATTATGCAGTCTGTACCCTTTGCTTGCTTTCATTCAACATTGTGTTTGTGAGATTTACCCATGTGGTTGAGTTTAGCAGTAGTTAGTTCATTTTCATTGTTGCATAGTATTCTGTGTCTAGAATTTCTGTTTGGCTCTGTTTTACAACTGCCTCATTTTCTTTCACGCTGTCTTTTTTAAGATTTTTTTTACTCATTTTACACAGGTTAAAGCATGAGCAGGGGGAAGGTCAGAGGGAGAGGGAGAAGCAGACTCGGGACTTGATCCCAGGACCCCAGGATCATGACCTGTGCTGAAGGCAGACATTTAATCCAGACACCCCTTATGCTGTTTTATGACTCAAATTGGGCTTTTCGAAGATTAAAGGGAGTTTCTGGTGGCTTCTAGGAGAGAGAATTTTCTTTAAGGAAGTGGCTGGTAAATTAAAATGACCAAGATAAAACTTTTTTTAAACTATATTGGGGTGATGTGTAGCATACATAGGCAGACAAAAGGGTAAAAGTCAGTTCTTCGCCTCTCTACATTTCTCCTCTCCATCTCTGGCGGCTTTTCTGACCTAGGCTCCCACTTTGTGTGTATTTTATTTTCAAAATAAATCAAAGCTGGAGGGTAATTTCCAGCAGTGATTGAGTGAGGAGAGATTTTCAACCCCCACCCCCACCCACAGCTATAAAACAGGACTAAATTGCCCAAAAAATGTCAGTCATTTCAGCACTGTGGAAACTGACCAGAGGCATACAATAATCTGAGAAGTGTTTGTGCTTTAAGGAACTACTGAACTTTGGGTAAGAATAGTGCGAATCTGTGGCATTTAGCCTGGTGCTCCTTCCATGCCCTCTTCCCAGTTCTACTACTAGGGAACTTCTGCCTGGCAGGTACAGGCTGTGAAGACCAACCCCTTCTCTGCAGGAGTGAGATGAGGCTCATTCAATTTAAGAGAGTTCTGGGCAGCAGCCCTGGGCCCGTGGCCTTATTGGTTGAAGTGACAGTCTTAGAGATGGGCAAATGGGGAAGGACAATGACTCTGTTAGCCCAAGGTTGCAGTCATGGTTAGGGCAAGACAGAAAAACTGTTTGAAGAAATAATGGGCAAAAACATATGTGAGGAGAATTCTCACTCATCCAAGAAGCTCAACAAACCTCAAGTAGCAGAAATACAAAGTGATCTATACCTGGACACATCATAGTCGAGTTGTTACAAGCCATAGAAAAAGAAAATTTTAAAAGTAGCAAGAGAAAAAGGGCTCATCATATACAGGGGAGCATTAATATGATTAACAGCCAGCTTCTCACCCAAGATCATGGAAACCAAAAGGAGTTGAATGATATTCAGAGTACTCAAAGAAGAAAACTGTCAATCTGGAATTCTGTGTCCAGCAGAACTCCTTCAGAAATGAAGGCAAAAAAGACATTTTCAGATACAGACCAAAAGAATCCGTCACTGGCAGACCTGCCAGTCTTTAGGCTGAAAGAAAATGACATGTTGGTAATTTAGGTTCCCAGGAAGAAAAGAGCACTGGAAATGGTAAATATGTGGGCTAATATAAAAGACTTTATTCTCATTTCTTCTTAAAACACATAACATTGTGGGGGCGCCTGGGTGGCTCAGATGGTTAAGCGTCTGCCTTCGGCTCAGGTCATGATCCCAGGGTCCTGGGATCGAGTCCCGCATCGGGCTCCCTGCTCCTTGGGAGCCTGCTTCTCCCTCTGCCTCTCTCTCTCTCTCTCTCTGGCTCTCATGAATAAATAAATAAAATCTTTAAAAAAAAAAAAAAAACACATAACATTGTGTAAAGTGTTAACTGCAACTAACATTGGTCATAATAGACAAAAATAACCATTTCACCTCTCTAGAAATTGACCAAAGGCATACAAAAATCTGTTGTGTTTATAATGGTGACAGATATGTCAGACAAACAAAACAGAAGGAATGAAATGGAGCTCCACTGGGGTAAAGTTTTTCTACTTTTTACCAGAATCAAATTAGTAATTTGAAGCAGATTGTGGTAAATTAATAACATGATTATTATAATCTCTAGAGCAACTATTAAGAAAAATAACTTCATAATAAAAAAGAAATCAGAAAAATTTAGTGGTACACTAAGAAATGTTTAACACAGAAGAAGACTGTCAGCGAGGAACAGTGGAACCAAAAAAAAAAGGAATGTGTGTGGAATACAACTAGCAAAATGGCACAT